AGGCTTTAGGCCTTGCTGCAAATTAGGCACAGCTGGACAGACAACATCCTCACCTGAACCTGTGACTTTAGTCAATGCTGCTTGTATTAGCTCGGTGAACCAAATGAGAGCTGCTGTGGGCACATATTTTGCCAGTGCAAGGGAATGAGGTTGGATGATGCTAAAATAAGAAGGATTAAATGTTGGCAACTGCTGCTATTAAATATAACAATGTTTCCTTTGTGGCGGCGTGTGGTTTTTTTAAAATCTTTTGTTGCAGATATGCTTTTATATATTAACTGTATGGCATAGTGAAATGATACTATATTGAGAATAAACTAAAGTATTCCTGTTGGACTCAACACAAATCCTGTAAATCAAATCGATTAAGTATTCTAATATGCAGGCCAGACACAACCAGTGGCCAGTGCAACCTAACAAAACATTACCAAAAAAAATGCACAGACTTTAAGGACAAGAAATGCATGTTCTGGGAATTCCCATTCTCTTTTTCCCTGCTCTTTAGTAGTTAGATTGCTGTGAAAATGCATTGTTGGGAGCCAACAGGACACTAATAATTACGTATCATTGTTCTGTGAAGGTGAGATAACGATATATGCTGAACCACTACAATAGCTTCTTTGAGATAATGGTGCTTGAGGCCTTTCCCCCTTGCATTTGTTCTTTCAGGACTTGCCTCTGCAGACTCATTTCTTGGTGGTAACAGATTTATTCCCTCATTAATTCTCTGTCCTCTTGCCTAAATCAAAAATACTTTCTCCTTTCTGCAAGTAAACATTTTAGCAGAATCTCCTTGCCATGCTCCTCTGCACGTCAAAAAAGAGAACTTTTCTTGTTTTCCCATTTCCTTCCCCAGAGATGGCACTTGTGATGCCAGATGCCCAGCACCTCTCCTGCCCTGTGATGGATTTGGTGCAGTAGTGGCCGGTAAGCCAGTGGGCTAACTAATCAGCCTGTGCACTAAAGTACACTCTCCAGCTACACGATTCCAGTCCTCCTTTCTTCAGAGGTTTCTTTTCTTTCTTCAAAATAACACAAGTTCTGTATACCAAACTATCCTTTCCTCCCCTTGACTCAGGTTCCTCCAGAAGATTTTATTTACTCCACCTGCAGGATCACATTCCACAGGCCCTCTGTCTGGGAGTTAAGGCGAGTCTCCCTGCTTCTGCAGGCTATCTGCCTGAGAGTCATACATAAACCTGTTTCTTTCCCCTGACCTAGGGACTCCTGCAAGAGCCTACCCACTCCGTGTAGCTTTCTGGTTCAACTCAGCTACTTGTAGTTTTTTTGTGATCATCAAGTGATCAAGTTTTCACCTCATCTGTAGCCTCACAGCAAGAGCTGTGAGGCAGCTGATTTATCACAGGGGGGCTGGATCTAACTCTCTTTAAGTAGCCAGCCAGCCTACGACATGATCATTGAAATGAGAAAGTTAGCACATTAAGTAGTGGCACATCCAATCCTCAAAATAGCAAGAAATATGATAGCGTTGGTTTCAAATTCCAATTTCTTCTTACAAAGCACTTTGTTTTGGTGATTCTAAATTGTAAAGACACAAGACAACACCGTCCCGAAAAGAAAGTAGGAAACAAAGTTTGGGCTGGGGGACAAATGGTGGAGTGTCGTTCAAGAAGACTAACAAAGATTACTTATTGCAGACAAACAGGAGCCTTGCCAGACCCTGAGGGCCCACTAAGGGAAAGGAAGGCCCTGTTCAAGAAAGTTTTAGGCAAGAGTGATAAGTTTGCTTATTCTCAGTCATGGATGATAGCTGAGAACACACTGTGATGCTAGAGAGGCATAGTAAACATCTATGGGAATACCTGGAAATTAACATTTTCACCAAATTTGATTGCCGAGCTAGAGCACTTAGAGATTATTCCAGAGCAAATTATGACTCATATAAACTCTCTCTGCTAAATTGAACATTCTGGTTGGCAGCCAGGGAGTTGGACAAAGCATTATACCTCCCATTTTACCTGTGGTTGATAGAGAGCAGTTTGCTATCAAATAATAAGTCTGCCTGTATTTCATATAGAGCTGGTAGAATTATTTTTCATGAACAATGTAGAAACTTTTTGCAAATACCTTTCCCTGAAATTTCAAGTTCTCAAAAAATTTCAGTTACTCAGTAAGCTTGTCAAAAATAGAAAAAATAAAATAAAAAGGTTTTGATGGAATTTCAAAAATTCTCAACCAGCTTTAGTTGCATGCCAGTTTAGTTTCATTAAATAAAAAAGGCAGAATGAAATGTGACTGCCCCTGGATAATAGAAGGTTGCTAAATAGGTCCCCTAGCCCAGCATGTGTGTGAGCAGATAATGTACATGCTGTCCAACATGCAGCTTATTGCAATAAAATTCTCTTGGTTTGACATTGTCCATATTTCAGTGCACAGTGGCTCAATGCAAAGTATGGAAAACAAAATAAAAAGTCAAGCAGAAAAGATACTCTTGGGAATAATGTTGTGTTGGGAGGGAGATGGAGGTGATAACAAGCCTTCTCTATCTTCTGTGGAACCTCAGATTAAAAAATTTAATATTCTCTCTCAAATGCAGCTTTAAAAATAAATCAAGCATTATTAGTAACAGCTTTTCTTAAGTCCTCAGATGGTCACAAAACGAGAACAAACTAGCTAGAGAGATAAAGGGTAGCAAGAAAACATTCTACAAATACATTAGAAGCAAAAGGAAGACCATGGACAGGGTAGGCCCATTACTCAATGAGGTGGGGAAAATAACAGAAAATGTGGAAATGGCAGAGTTGCTTAATGACTTCTGTATAAGATGTAGGAATTTAATGTGAGGAATTCTAAGAGTGTTAGTTCATCCCAATTTGCAGCAGTTGTGTCAGATAAGAGATATGGGATTTCACTGGTGGAACCCAGGTCTATGGAATAAGGAATACCTGAAGTCATTGCAGACCGGGGTACCTCTTTGGTACCTTCTGTCCCCTTCATACTGTGGAAGTATAGGGGATTCAGCAGAGCAAGGTGAATCCTTGGGGTAGGCAGTGGAGAGTCTACCCTGAGTTATGAGCTCTATGATAGATGCCCTGTAAACACCGCGATGGACCCTCCTGAAATGCCTTGTATGAGATAGGGCAGATAGTGCCTCTCTCCAGTGTTAAATTTTCATATAAGTTGTGGCCTGCCATTTAAAATCCATCCCTGTCTCTGTCCTCATTCCCTTGGATGTCCTGAGGAATGAGGAACTCGCTCTCTGGGGCTCTGACCTCACCTGAACTCAAAGCTGTTTCTTAAAAACAACTTGTTCACAGCAGTATTGTTATAAATGTCTTAATTTAAACTGTCAGAACTCATGTTGTATTGAAAATGAATGTTTGTACATCCACATTTCTTAAAAACTACATACCACTTACAATTAATTCAAATGGCCTGCATCACATCAACCATTTTTCTTCATTAAGGCACATCTGAAAGAGACTCATTATTAAGTAAAAACCCTTTTGTTCTTTCTCTGTAAGTAGATTTAATCAAAACTATGCTTTGTAACTTTAGCTACAGCAACAGATTTCAGAGTCAGGAATAGGAATAACCGAAGTACCAGTGCACTGCCATTCCTGCCATAGTCACTGAAAGCATATTCCTCCCTAAATAGAAGAGTCCAAATAGAGCTATGAGGGGTAGAAATAGATTCACTTTTATTCCAGAGGGCAATTGGATGCTCCTTAGCAGGACAGTAGAAGAATTATTTTTAAGTGTTTCCTTTTGATTTAAACAGGTGGCATGATCATGTTATGTGGCGTTCATGTGCAGTTGATTAATTCATGGCTACCAATTTAAAAATATTAAATTTCCTACAAGTGTTATGGACAAAGTGTGAAGCTCATCTCTGATGTCTGAATTAAGTGCATTTTTTTTAGAAGGAGCAATACCCATCAACCTCCACTTCCCCAAATTGTACTTTCAACACATTAGTTTAATTCTTGAGAGGAGTCCCAGGGTGGGATATTTTTATTTGCTGTATTTACAATAGTGGATTTCCAAAGTTTGCATTCTTCTTTTAAAAACAACTTGCTGTACTAATATAGGGACTGCATAGAGTGAAGTTAGTGGCAAAACTCCCATTACTTTCAATGGTGGACAATTGGGTCCCTATTATCTGAATACTCTTAAAGAAGTATTTTCATTGTCCTCATAGTTTTGCACTTCTACAGCACCTTCCATCACTGGAACTCAAAACACTTCACAAATATTAGTGAATTAAGCCTCACCTCAGCCCTTAGGTAAGTACCGTCTGTTTCCTTTTGTAGTTGTGAAAACTGAGACACAGAGAGAGAAACTTACCCAAGGTCACATCAGAGGCTGTGGCAGAGATGGGGTAGAGGCTAGGGTTGAAATTCTGGCTCCCTGGAAGTAAATTGCAAAACTCGGTCCCAGATCTTCTGGCTGACAGTGGTATTCTTTAACTATAAGACCATGTTCCATAAAGTGGGGGAGGAGGGAGGGAAGCATGTATATGAAAACAAAACTAGTTAGCCAATGGTTCCTCGGTGTACCCTTTTCTAATCTTATAGATGTTTATGTTTGAATTAGAGCTCTTCCCACCCTCAACTCAAATTAATTTTCTGCTTGATTCTGCAGTGAAATTATAAGTACCATGTTTTATATTGTGGTGTGGATATAACTGGTGCCCCAGATTTAGCATTATTAATTCACTGTATCTGACAAAGATGTTGTATAGGGAGAATATCCTTCTTCTAATCCAGATTTCACTGATGGCTTGCAAAGGTGGCAAGGAAAATTATGAAAATACTTAAAAGGTTAAAAGGTTTATGTTTACATGTGACAGATGGGAAATAACAGTAATAACATTTGGTCTGGTCCTGCAGTCCTTGTAGTAAATAGATGTTTTCTCTAAATAAGGACTACAGGATTGGACCCACATCATACTTTGGTTTTTAAATAGGCAAGATTTCATTTCTGATGTTTGTCACATGCCGAAGCATTAGATTATTTTTTTCCTTCTGTTTATGAAGCCTCTGCCTCCTTGCCATGACTCTACGGAATCTATGGAGGTGTTCAAACAGCACTGCCAAATAGCAGAAGAATATCATGAGGTCAAAAAGGAAATTGCACTGCTGGAAGAAAGAAAGTAAGTAACTTTTCTCCAAAGAAACCCCAGTATTTACTTATATGTTCAAAGGAAAAGAAGTGTAATTTGCATGAAGAAAAACTTTCATAATTATTTTAAAATTACTACAGAACCATTCACATGGAATATGATTTCTAGGCTAGCGAAGGAAAAGTGGAAAAGTGGAAAATGCTGCCAGAAGTAGGTATTAAAGAAAAATGGTATTTTTGTTTGAGTAAAGAGACTAAAAGAGTAAAAGTTTGAGTAAGGAAGCTAACATTCAAGATCTTGATCTATAGAAATCCTTCATAATCTAAGCCAGAAGATCTTTGTGACCTTATTCCTCTGCCTGGGACAACTGCAATTGGACAGAGCAGGCTGTCTCTGTGTCCTAAGGTTCGGCCATGACCAGGAAGAGAGCAGAACTTTAACTGTTCAGGGCTCTCAATTATGCAACTGTCCACTGAAGGACATCCACCAGAATCCCTTTATTGGCTGCTTTTAGGACACTGTATGGCCTTATTCACACATACTTGCACCAGTCTAAACTAGTGCAATCCCCTGCGTAGACACCCTTATTTCAGTTTTAAGAATGATTTAGTTCTGTATAGCTTAAATTTGTTTTTAATTAACTTTAGTTAAACCTGTGCAAAGACAGTGTGGACCATCTGATTTGTAGTTTAATTTAAGGTGTGATTTTAAACTATTGCAACCTTGCATGTAGACAAGCCTTCTGGAAGACCCATTTATTATGGCATATCTACCTTTGCCCATTTTTTCGGTCCCTCTCTGTCCAGTTGTTTTGTGTTTCATTTCCTGACTACTCCTTTTCTTTTTCTGTTTTCCTTTTGCCTGGCAGGGTGGTTTGCCTGAGTTACATTAAGTTTATTCTCTTGCCTGACCTTTCTGATCCATTTGATGGTTTATTCTCACTGGCTCCATCCTTTTTATAGTAATGGTTTGCATTGACTTTATGGCATGGTGCTCAGTTGTTGATCACCACAATTATATAAACAGATTAAACAAAATTTTTTGATGCTAATTGGATTCTTCCAAGATGTAGTTAATGTTAAATCAAATGCCAGACATTGACAACCAGAATGATTCGGCATTTTCAGTGAAGAGCAAAAGAGTGAGAATAATTCAGTTGAAAATAATACTCTAAGTAGATCCTTAATCTACTGTACTTTCCATTGCTGTTGTATGGTATTTGGATTTTATTTTAACAAAAGGCCAGCCATCCCACAGAAAAAGCCCTTTTTGTTGTAGCTGTGTTTCACCAAGCCTTGGATTGGGGTGGAGTCAGAGGTAAAAAGCTAATTCAAGAGATATGTCCTTCTTTAACAAACCATTAATTCTGATGCTATGGGACTTTGGATTTTCCTCAGGGCAACAAAAGCATAATTTTCTGCTTCAATTACCCCAACTTAGGAGACTCCTTTGGAAGGTCATGTAAGAAGGTGAGGTATGAACTCCTTTACAGAGACCCAACTGTAAAAAATGTTAAGATTTTAAGCCCCAGACCTGCAAGTGGGTCCAGATGAGTGAACACCTGCCCTTCTTGCAGAATCCCACTGAAGTCAATAAGAGCCCATAAGGATGCAGGTATCTGCCATCAAAGGGGCAATCATAGGACTGGGGTCTCAGTTATTACCTGAACAAACTTCCTACTAGCAGGGATTTTTCTACTAATTCCAATTATTTTTGCAGCAATTTCTTATTTTTTTCCTCCTGCATTAAGCCATACATGTATTTTATTGTCTGACAGATATGATTGCTAGCTGAGGCCAGCTGAGAGAGCTATGATATCAAGGATACATTCCAGAATGTGGTCCTTTATGCACTGTTAGAGCCCATAGTTTGATCTTTAAGAATTGTTTTCAGAACAAATTATAATTTCTGTTTTGAGACAAATTGGTTTTTGTGCATAGGTGAGGTAGGGACTGTTTGGCATTAGTAGTTGGTCAGGATGTACCACCAATGTCAGTATATTGAAAGTATATGTAGGGTAGGAAAAGCCATATTCTTTGTACTAAAGGTGGAGGATGGACCAAATGGCATGAAAAATCCAACAAAACTTGCCATGATTTAAAAGATTATTGAATTTGGGATCCTAAAACTGACAGATTTTCAAAACTGTCCACCTAAGTTGCACAAGCATAACCTGCCTCTGGATGAGCAAATACAAATATGCATGTGTAAAATAAATGTCTGCATGTCCAAGTATATGGTTGTGTGTGCAAATTTGGATATATGCATTTATTGGGATTTGGGCCACAAGTTGTGAAGGTTTGGTTCAGAAGTTGAATGGAACCGATTTATTGTGAGTAGAGCTAAAACAAGGAAAAGAATTCAAAATTTAAATGAATAACATAATATGTAAGTGCTAACAATGTATTTTTGTAACTTTTGATGGGAAGAAATTGAGACTATTTATCTGTTCCACCGCAGATATTAGTCCAAAATTTTCAAACTTGTCTAAACTTGGTTGTCTAAAGTCAGTTACATATTTATAATCCATATTTAGCACCCGAATTATTTCAGTGGAAGCCATTGATGCTTGGCACCTCTGAAAATCCAAGTCTGATACTTATATATCAAATTATGGATTTAAGTACCTTTCGGTACCCAGGCTTAAAAAAGCGGTCTTATTATTATTATTTTTTCAGAAAGCTGATATAAATGTTTTATTACAAGTGATACATACCTGAATGAACTACACACATTTTCAAGCAAAACACACTTGAGACTTTGAGGTTTTTCTTTAATAAAAATCTTTTTAAAATAGTTTATTGCATATGATAGAATGAAATTTGTCTTTTGGGAACAGAGTTATGTATATACAGATACTCTGACAGTAGGCACATAAGAAATGTTTAATGCTGGAGATTTCCAAATACATATACAAAAATATATCCAAGCAAGAGTGGCTATGTAATTTCTTTCTGGACTATTGTTATATGCCTCCTAATAATATACATGATACCTAGAAACCATGGTGGTGGGTGGATTAGAAATGCCTAGACAGATAAGGATGTCAGTCCAGCACCTTTTACTAGCTCTCAATTCATTTAGAAGAGGAGGAGAAAGAGATTTTTGGCCTGTTGACTAATTTTTTGGATAGTACAATACTGTTCTAGACAGAAACAGTTTGAAAGTTACAGGGAACAAGATATAAGTGGGGGTATTTGCTGAAATTTAATAGACTAGAGTGGATCACACTGGCTGGGATGAAATGAGATATTAAATATTCCATAAATTAGAAGAAAGGGAAGTTTGTCTCTTCTAAAAAGAAGTGGGCCGGAGTGAAAAGTCTGTCTGAATGACAGAAGTTCAAAAATGGAGTCTTTTCTGAGCTTTCTGAAACTTCACCAGTTTAGGGACTACTGCAGATGTCCAAACTTTACTACACAATATTATCAAATTTTAACCTTCCTTTTGTGGAAATGTGGATTCATAATAGTGTAATATGCCAGATAAATATAATCCTTACTTGTAAATATTGAATACAATAAACTGATAAATACACACATGATTTCTCCCTTTTATTTTGAACATATAGTAACTTGTGCAATATTCTTCTTCCACTCAGTTCACATTTTTACTGAGGCCAAGAGATCTTATGTTAGATGGCTACCCTGCCAGTATTCTTAACTTCCTCTCCACAGATTAGTTTATCTGTGGAATGCAAAGGTCAAACATTACCTGGCAACACATACTGCCAGGAAGCCTGATGATACAAAACTCTGTGTTCAAAATATTGAACAAGATGATAGTCTGCTCTAAACAGAATAGTCCACATTGTTACTTCTAGAAAAATATTCGCAGACCAGTAAAGATCATGGTAAATTAGCGCTATTGCACAGATCAGAATTTATCAAGGAGGGAACTTAATCATATCATAATGATATCAAAACAATCATAAGCATAAATAGATATCAGTGCCACAAGCACATTTGAATAACTACAGCTGACAAGGGTTATTTTATAAAATGCTTTCTTTATAACTTTGTTTACATACCAAAGTGACAGATGCCTTAGAAATATGGTAGATAAATAATGTGTAATTTGTCTCTCTTCTCTTCTTTCCAAGGACCTAGAGCAAATGCAGGGCAGTTAACAATCTTGGTTTGCACTTTTGTCCTGCATGCTAGCCCACCAGCCAGTGCTAAGAAGTTAGCATCAGCTGGCGTGTCTCTTTTGGCCTCCTGTTGCTTAGGGGCCCTCTCCTGGCTGCCTTCTCTTCCTGCCCTCAGACCCTCTTCCTTTGCAATGTGCTTTTCACTACACAATGCAGGGGGAGGCAGGAGCACAAAGCTATAAAGGGAGGTGGTGAATTGGACTAACACTGACTGCTGCACTCCACAGCAGGAGTCTTTTTGCCCCATTTTCTTTGTGGGAGAGGCAGATAGTAAGAGCACAATCCATGGTAGGTGTGGAAGCAATGAACGCAGTTACCTCATGAGAAAGAGGGAGTGAGAGAGAGGGATAGGGTGAGGGGATCAAAAAATGAGAATTATAGGGTAGAACAAAGGGAAAGACTGGTGGGAGAACATGCTGTAAATGGGCACAGCTCTGACTTCATTTGAATTCTGCCCATTTACACCAGCAGAGAATTTGTTCTGATATGTAGGGCAAGGGACAAACTCAACCTGAAATGGAAGAAGAGATAGAAAAGGAAGAAAGGGGTGTGGAGGCAAGAATACACCACACTTAGATCAGTGAATGTAATTTAATTTATGTTCCTGTAACTTCTTATATTTCCATGACAGATGTGTTAGATCTCTAATTTTGGGCGAAAGGGATAGGATGGCTGGTTATTTTGGGCACTTATTACATTACTATTACTAGCTAATGACCCTGGATTATGCAGTTAAATATTAGAGTTGTCTTGGTTGCTAGCTATATTTTGTATCATTAGCTCTGGCCAGTTTTATCTTTTTCCTCCCCCAAACAATTCTAACACATGCCTGGAGTGAATGTGGTCTAGGATTGTCCCTTTTCTGTGCCATGGATACCTT